CCCCCCCCCCCCCCCCCCCCCCGCAGCCTGAGTGAAAGCCTGAGGCAGGAGCATACCCCCACTGGCACGGGTCAAATTCCCCACAAGCACTAGGGCAGTCACCTCCCCACCACAGGGAGACCCTCTGGCTCAGCTGTCATGAGGCGTCCCTGCAATTAGAGCGCAAATTCCAGGCCCCTCTCCCCACCCCCGCCCAGCCGCAGACGCTGATGGATTCTGATGGACGGGGACTCCCTGAACGCAGTTGCTGCTCAGTACACATTGCGTTCCTGTTCTCCTCTGTGTGGATCTGTAACCAGTGTGCCTGGGCTCTGAAGACTTTCAGAAGTGGGCGTGGCTTCACCACACAGAGCAACCAGCGCCAGCCAATCTGGGTGGCTACCCCCCCCCTCCGCATCCTTCGCCACTGCAGAAGCAGCTGGGGTACAGAGCAAACTGGCCTAACCCCCATCCCCACGGTGCCCCCACTCCTCCCTGCTGTCCCTAGAGAGGCCAGGCCATCTTGGCCTCCTTGCTGGCCCTTCAGAGCTGAGGCCAGAGGTCTTAGACTTTAGGGCCTATGAGCATTTGGAGGGAAGTCCACCCCCTGCTGTCCTCCCCCCCCCCCCTTGCCCTGGCCAGGGCTCGGCAGCACTTACGTCGGGGTTCTCGGGGTCCATCCACGGTGACCTTGATGGCTCGGTGGTAGGTGGCCACTTGGGTAGGGTTGGTGAACACGGTGATGGTGAGAGTGAAACTCTTCCCTGGGGAAGCAAGGCAGGAGTTTGATGGCAGGCACACTCGGAGCCCCCAGCTCCCTCCCGCGCTCCGCTGTCCGAGCCCCCAACTTTAGTCCCCTCAAGCACAAAGAGAAGGGCAGGGAGAGTACAGTCCAGGCTGCCAGGGTTGGCATTGAGGGGTTTTCTCCCTCCCTTCTATGTGACCGCATTTTTGTGATATTCTTTCTATTTAGGGACTCATACAATTCTGAGGTAAAGCTCACAGATGCGTTTCTTTTTTTTTCCTTCCCCAGAAAGGAATTAGTGCTCTTTTTAGAAAAAAAAAAAAAAAAAAAAGTTGAGAACACAAAACATATTTAAAAAGAAGAAACCCCACCCACAGTCCCCTGGCTGAGATAACCACCATCATCAGTTGGGGTTTTCTTTTCCATCCTCCGGGCGGAGCAGTTTCTACACAGTTGCTGAGGTGCCAAAAGCTATAGCTTTTCTTCCTTTTGATTTTATTTTATTTTATTTTTTGTTTGTTTGTTTTTGAGATAGGGTCTCTCTGTGTAGCCCCAGCCGTCTTGGAACTCTGAACTCACAGAGATCCACCTGCCTCTGCCTCCCAAGTACAAGGGCCTGTCTTGATTTTTGTTTTCATTTTTAAAATTTATTTTATTTATAGGAGTGTTTGGCTCACATGCATGTATGTGCACCGTGCGTGTGACCTGGCGCCCCCAGAGGCCAGAATAGGGCATCCAGACCCCGGAACTGTAGTTACAGATAGCTGTGAGCCACCATTTGTGTGTGCTGGGGATCAAACCCAGGTCCTCTGCAAGAGCAGTCAGTGCTCTAACCGCTGGGCGATCTCTCCAGCCTTCCCCCCTACCCACCCCCTTCCATCTTGTTCTCTTTCCCTGTGGCATTACTAAAACTTCAATTTTTAATGGCTGCTGAATACTCCCCTGGCAGGGACCTCAGCTTTGATTGGTCCACCTCCCAATGTCATTGTCAATTTCTTGCTGCTGTGTGCAGCCAGGGCTGTGCGGGGCCTGACCTGGTTGCCGTAGACACAACTGTTATTTCCAGAGCCCTGTTCTATTTTTAGATAGACATTTGGCTCCAACGTCTCCATTCAAAATTCCTGAGAGGGGAAAATCTTTTAAAATAATACTTTTTGGGTTTTTTTCCCCCCTCCCTCTTTACCATTTACAATATGACCTTCCATGTGTCAAAATCTCTGTCCACATCTCCTCTCTGTTGACTCCCTCCCAGCGGTTTGCAGGAAGTGTTGAGCGAGCGTGTCACCTCAGAGGCCCGGGGAAGAGTTTGTGGGGGCCAATCTTGACTCCCTGGGGACACATACTTCGTCCTGAGTGATGTGAGGCCACATGTCACTGTCGCTAGCTCTCGGCTATCAAAAAGGCTTCTGTTTGCCTTTTTCTTACTAGTGGGACTGAAACTGTCCCCGGCGCTGCCCATCACCGGAATCCAGCACACATCACTGCCTCCCATCGGGGTTTGGGGGCTTGCGGGCCTTTGACAAGCTGCTTTTTCCCAGCTGTGGGCTGTCTGGGTGGCTGCCGCCACACTCCATTTCCACCCTCAGCCCTTCCTAACGCTCCCGCTCCCGTTCTCCTCCTCTCTCTGGGTGTTAGCGGTCTCCTCAGGCAGGAAATAGATGAAGGCACACTTGCAGGGTGGCCGGCGGTGTCTAAGGCCAAGGCTGTTTTTCTAGCATCTTAGTTATTCTGCCGCTTTGTGCGCTGGGCTGTGTCCAGAGCTTCGGGCCTAGGCCAGCGCCATTACCATCTAAGATGAGACCGGGGGTTGGGGGGGATAGGTAGGGGACACAACGGGACTCCACAGACCCCCAAGCCCGACTTCCCCTCACCCTGCTTTGCTTCTGTGGATCTGACTCTCCACCAAACTTAGAGGATGGGAACGCCCCGTGGGCAGCCCAAGTTCAGCCATTTGTGCCTCTCTGGAGCGGCCCCCAGGGACCCCCATGGGTTTGCTGGAGACAGGTCATGTTAATGGGGCCGGTTTCCACAGCCCTGCTGTACAAGAGGGCAGAAGCAATCTTGCTGTTCTCTTTGCTCAAGGGAAAATTCTAGCCCCGGAAACAGGAGCCGCCAGAGCATGGCTACAGCAGCCAGGCCAGCTCACCAGCTGAGCCTCCAAACCCAGGGGCTTCTGGGAGAGTTCAGTCAGAGTACCCTGGGAAATAGGCCCATCACTGGAAGAAGGTCTCTGAGGCAGCCAGCAGAGGCCAGGACACAAATATTAAGGCATCTATCTAACCTTGGAGGTTTGAGTTAGGAAAGCCAGCTTGGCCCTCACACTCAGGCCAGAGGCCATTTGCTTGATTTCTGGAAAGAAAACGGCAGACAGTCTGGGGCAACCCAGGGCAGGTGGCCTCAGACTCCTCTCCACTCCCCTTGGGGACGTCTTCTCTCTGCCTTCTCACTTTGAGGTCATTTCTTTCCTAGACTCCTCCTCCCAACCAATGGGGTACTAGGGGGAAGTAAGCCAGGCTCTCTGACCTCATCGCTTCCTAGGGGGGGCACAGTGAAGGATGGGGGGCAGGCTGATACCTGGAGCCTTAGCTGCCAGGGCTCCAGACTGAGGACTAAGGTCTGTAGTGGAGAACCACCTTCTCCATGAGGACTACCCCTAGCCACTCTATTTAAAGGTGACGACATTTCAAAGGTGTGTGCTTCAGTGGTAAAAGGTTTGTCTAAGAATGCTTCAGGCTCTGGGTTCCATCCCCAGGGCAAACAAACAAATAAACAAACAAACAAAACAAAACAGCAGCAACAAAAAACCAGACCAACAGAGTGGATTTTGTTTTTTTCAATTCAGCCTCTGTGGTTGACCCTTCTTAACCTAGAGCAGGCCAGGGACCTGGGGCAGGAAAATCTGCAATAGTCTCATCCCCAGCCCCTAACTGGAAGAGCCTCTCCCAAGCCAGAGTGCAAGCCACAAGCCACAGAAGTGGAATGAGCAGAACCTGTGACCTCGCCACCCACAAGCCATTTACAGATCATGTGACC